GTGCATAAAAAATAGCTTAAAAACTAATTAAATAGGTTTGAAAAAGTCAATTTAACAGTTTTAAAGATTATAAAAACAATTTGAAATGACCTTTATTCATTACCAAGAACAAGTCAGCTCAATAAATTGATATTTTATTATAAATAAATGTTGTCTCATGGTTACTCAAAAGGATACTATTGAATTATACCTACCATTCTGCTTCAATAGATGATGTTACTAAAGAGGTAATCTAAAATTAGAACACAATGCAAGTAAAAAAATTCATAGTAAATTCTATTCATAACAAACAATTGAACCTTGAAAGTCAATTGAAAACCGTTAAAGCTTTTATTGACACATGTGTCTAGTTCATGTGATTAATAATCACCCAATTATATTTAAAAAATAAAATTTAAATGCAATTTAATTTTGTAACTTAAAAAAAAAAAGATAAAAAGCTTTTTTTTTTTTTTTTTTTTTTTTTATTTGTAGAAAATTAGATTTAAATTTTAAGTGTAAAGAAAAATGAAAAGTTTTTAACATTTTTTTAGAATGGTTTGTCAACAACAGGTCCAAAAAAAGATCAAAAAGATTTGCTAGACACACTATCTAAAATTACATCTGGTGCAGAGGGTGTTGGTTCTAAAATTAAAGCTTTGTTTGACAATATTTACAAATCAGACAAAAAACTTACTAATGAAGAAGCAGAATCAATAAAACAAGATATAGGTATATTATAGAGTTACTTGATATAAAACATTCTGAATTAAATGGAGACTATAAACATTCAGGCTAATTGCATATTTCAAGGTTAATTGCAATTCAATAAATTTATTCTAATTAAAGTATGTGTTGTTATATAAAAAGTTTTATAATAGTTGCTATTGTATATTTATCAATAAAAAATATATAAAATAATCAATAAATACATAAATAAATGAATATATATATATATATATATATATATATATATATATATATATATATATATATATATATATATATATATATATATATATATATATATATATATATAAATTAGTAGAAAATCACTTAACAAAAATTTATTTTCATTTTACACTGTGTATATGCACTTAAGTACTAGGAAGCTCCCTATTTTAGTTTGACACCATCAATGATGTTTTATACGAGTACTGTACCAAAGATATATATATATATATATGTATATATGTATATATATATATATATATATATATATATATATATATATATATATATATATATATATATATATATATATATATATATATATATATATATATATATAAGGTTTAAAAAAATTATGAAAAAAAATTCAATCAAAAAAGTATAAAAACTTTTCATATTATTTATCTAGCAAGAACATAATTTATATTTTTTATACAAGTTCTGGTTAAAAAGTTGGTACAAGAACTGGTAGTAATATATAGTTATTATTAATGTTTAAAGTTTTTGTAGCTAAAGTGAAAATTAAAAAAGAATTTTTTCTTTTTATAAATGTTAATAAAGCATAAAAACAGTAACTTTAGCTAATCGATAAGACCCAAGTGCGTTTATAAATGAATAAATAAAAAAACAGAGAAATAAACAAATAATGTTAAATTTACCTGTTAAACTCATTTAACTAATTTTATGCTTCTTTGAATAAACTTTTTGTTAAAATACTATTATTAGTTTTATTGCTTGAAAAACACAGTATTTATTAAAAGCATATATAAAAACTACGTATATAACAAAAACATAGTATTTTCTTTATTTATCTTTTACAAGGTTTTTATGCATAAAATTATTTTTTTTAAACCATATTTATGTAGTTATAATTTAATTGTGACTGTGATATACAATTAGAATATGATTGTGCAATATCTAAAAATGACACAAAATATTTTTAACAGATCAATTTATTAAAATTTTTTTTAAAAGAATTATTTAAATCAATATATTTTTTTTTAATTTGTTGTGTAATACTTGGAGTTTACCATTACAGTAGTACTCAAACAGTAGTACTCAAAAGTGATCATTTTGCATTGTTCAATAGAATTTTTAATTTGTTTTTTTACTAAAAGGTCTTTAGTGTTCTATAAGAACATAAATAATTTCATTTTCAGATAATAAAAGACAATCTTAACCAACTAACCTTATAATAAAAAGTATACAGCTTATGGTTAGAGACATTGGTGTACTTTGGAGATGTTTTTTGGAGACACATTAGTTATGCTGCCATTTTGAGTGGTGAATTTTAACTAAAACATTAACTGTATATATTGGCTAATAGAGGCTAATATGAAGTTGTTCTAGCTCTGCTCAACACAGTAAAAATAAACATTTGTTTCCATATTATAAAGTCACTTATTTAGGACATCTTTGATTCCTTCTAATATTGTAAGTATTAATTTTATTTTTTCGTGTCTCTAGTTGGCAAAAAACTTATATGAGACCCCCCCTCTCTTTATAAGAGACCTCTTCAAGACCCTGCGTACATAGTCGCATAAAAAAAATCTTTAAATTTTTGGGGCATCTTTAAAAAAACAAAACAAAAAAAAACAAAAAAATTAGATCTAGAAAATATTGCAACAAGAAAAATGAAGATGTGAAGCAAGCCTTCACGGTAGAAGATTTTTTTTTTTTTTAACTTTTATTTGATTATAATTAATGCTTGTTTATTTTTTATTTTTTAAATAATTGTTAAAAGTAAAATTTTGATCAATTAGAAATATTTTTGCCCAGATTTTTCTACCTTGAAAAATTTTGCTTTGGAAGTATTGCGTACAGAAAAGTTTTTAAAAAGGTTTGGCTGCTTTTGGTTTTCTTTTGTACCTATCATAATAAAAATTTTCTATACTGATTTCTCAATGTTATTTCATACACAATCATATTAGTTTAAATAAAAAATTTATGAAAGTCTTAAAATAAAAATAAAATAGGTAATGCATATTATGAGTTGCTTGCCTATGCATATGCATATTATGCATAATATGTATATGCAGGCTTGGTCAAGAAGCGGGGGGATCGCTCTTGATTACTGGCCATGGAAATAATATTTAGTTGTGAAAAACCGGCCTGATTTTTTAGTCATTTTATGAACATTTCAAAAACCCAAAAAAAAGTGCAAAAGATTAATTGGACCAATGAGAGACAATTACAAAAAAAAATTTTTTAACGCAAAAAAACTTCAAGCAAAATAGATTACATTTAGAACAGACATTTTCGAAACATCGTTCTTTTATAATTTTGTTATAAAATTAAGCAATGTTTTTTATATAAAGTAACATCTTTTGATTGTTTAAAAAGTAAACAAATGTTCTTTATTTAACAAAGAGTGTAATCTAATTTTTATTTATATACTCGGGTCTTATTTCCAGTGCTAAATTAAGGAGGGTTGAGGTTAGAGGGGGCTGTAGCCCTGGGCCCGGAAATGTTAGGGCCCAAAAAAAGTCAAGAAGACCTTTTTGTTTAGTTATTTTTATGCTGTGGCACATAAAAAGGCATCCAAAATATAAATAGCCCCTGGCCTTAAAAAGTCTGACAAGATTTTAATAAATCTAACTCAAGTTTTAGTTTTATCTAAGTTATTTTATAAATAAAATTTTTTTTTTTTTATAATTATTTTTTATGCTTCGCATATTTTGAAAAATTTAACATATTTGAAACAATTCTTATTCGTAAGATGAACAAATGAAATAATTAAATCATTGAATTACTATAAAAATTAAATTAAATAGATAGAAATCAACTAAAAAGGTTAAAAATACTTTATGACAAGGAAGTGAAAATGCTTCACAATATCGCTGATGATGTTTAGTGAGTGGGCTTTTTAATTTTAATTAGTATTTAACGCAGAAAAAAGTATAACAAGTTTTTAAAATGGCAACTGAAGCGAAAATAATTAGAGTTAATAAACCAATATCTAAAAACTTTTTTTTATATCTAATAACTTGCATATATATTTGTATTCTGTCGTGACCTCAGGCGCGGTTCTTGTTCATCCGCGAGTTACTTTGTATGCATGTTTGTGTTTAGTAACCAGAAACTTCCTATATGTTTATTACATAATTAGTTATATTAACTTTGATTATTATTAATAACTTCATTGAAAATGCAATAATTGTTGAAAGTCTTTGTCTACAAAGTAAATCATAGAAATTGCTTTAAAATATTACATTACAATAAAAAACAGACACACAAAATTACATTTACATAAAAAATACAAATTTTTAATAAAAAATAAGAATATACTAATAAAATCTATAATTTATAATAAACTTTCAAAATTTTGACAATTTAAAAAATATATTTTATAAAACTTTTATTTTGTAAACAAATAATAATAGTTTGAAAGATTCACGACTTGTGAATGTGGCTCTGATAATGAGTCATAGTACTAAGGCTTGATAATCTATTCTTAAAACAGTTTATACTAGAAATCTCAAAACGTTACAAATTGTGAATAATACAAGTTCTAAAACATTCGCTTAGTCCGCATATTTTTTGAACCAATAGAATTAGTTTGTCCGTAGATTTGGCAGGTTTTTAGTGCTCACAAATATTCCTTTTATTTTTCGCACAAAGATGTTTTGAGAACATTCAAGTTTATTATGTTTCCATGTGTGTCCTTAAAACAAAAATTTTTTGTCACATACATAAACTTAAATGTTCTCAAAACGACTAAAAAACCTAGCCAGTTTTTTGCAAACAAATATTATTTCCGTTGTCAGTAATTGAGAGCGATATGCATAATTTGCATAATGAGCCTGATATGCATAATTTGCATGCCTATACATATGCATGCCTATGTTATATACCTGCATGCCTATGCCATATGCATATGCATCATGCCTATGCATAATATGCATCATGCCTGTGCCTCGAATGCATAATAAATATGCATCATAAAATGACACAAATGAATAAACACATTAATAAACATGTGATAATGAATATTTGATAATGAAACACGTGATATTGAACAAACATGCGATAACATGAATAAACACATGAATAAGCACATGAATATGCATCATAAAATGCATCATGTTTATGCATAACATGCATCATGCCTGTGCCATATGTATGCATATTCAAAACATTTTCAATATATGCAAGTTGAGGTATATATTTTTGTAATATATTTGTTTTTTAAGCTTTGTCACTCATCACTCATAGAAAAATTATGAAAAGTGTCAAAAAAAAATAAAAACAACTTAGCTAAAAGAAAAATTATAAAGGAAATAAGGGAAAACAAATTCCGGATATTTTATTCAAACAATTTTCCAGATTTTTAAAATGTGACTATGATGTTCTATGATAATAATGCATAATATGCCCTCCAATTAATATTTAGGTATAAAATCTGAAAATATGCTGATAAAATAAGTCTGTGTTATAAAGTTTTATTATGCTACGTGTTCTTGCGTTCTGCACATGATGACACATCAAAAAATGTGGTTAAAAGCAGGTTAGTATCATGACTAAAGGTAAATTATCTTGAAGGTAAATTATCTAATGATAAACTTTAAAGGGAAATAGCAAGGAGTTGCTATTTCTCTTCAATGTTGATTTTTCTACTATGATTAATTGAACTTAAAGAGTTTTATGTTTAAAGAAATCCTTAAAAGTGCACTCAGTGGAGCAGACCTATCAGGATGGTTGAATGAAACATTTTTCCTAGCATTTACAAAATGTTTTTTAAATTGTACCTGTTAAGTAGAGAAAACCATTCTTTTTATTTGACAATCATGAGAGATATGTCTCAATACATACAATCAACTGACATAAATAATGGAATAAATGAAAATAATGGAATTCTTATGGTAAAATTTCATCCCCATGCAAATCACAAAATGCTGCTTTTAAGCACAATTGTATTAGGTCCAATCGGACAAATTACAACAATAAAATGAAATATTTATTTTATCTAAAATGTAGCAGAAATTGTTAAATAAGCCTTTCCTTTAGTGTTTACTCCAAGTAGTATTACAAATAGTGTTCAAATAAGTGGCCTTCGTCTACTGAATGAATACATTTTTTTAAGATAATAAGTTTCAGCTTTACACTGTAACATGATGGAATGCCTGAATTCTTAACTGATATTGGGGTGAAAAACTGCAATACTTCTTTTTTAGCAAACCAGATAAGCACTAACAGTGTGTCCATCAATTGGCCTTATCCACAAAAACAAACTAGTAAGGTTGTCCTTATAAAATATTGTGCATTGTAATTTTTAATTCTGTTTTATTTTAAATCAAAAAAGAAAAAGTTGGCAAGAAAAAAGAAGGCATAAGAAATGCAAGTGTTGTGATTTTGCAGCAGAGGTACTAGAAGACAAAAAAATTTTCCCATTTTTCACAAAATTGTTTGATAAAGATATCAAACAATTTTGTTAAACTGAAAAAAACATCAAATATTAAGTTTATTGAACAAATAGTAAATAAATTGGTAAATATATATTAATAAATAAAAATTTTTTAATCAAAATGTTTTATCTTAAGTGGAGGTAGATAGATTTTTTTTAAATAGATGTTAAACCTCATCCAAAAATGATATTAGTATTGGTAAAAACAACTCAAGTTGAAGTATTTTAATACCTCTCTCAGAGGTATATATATATACCTCTTTTTGAGTATTAAACAGGCTTGGAACATTACTCCAGAACTTTCTAGCTGAACTTTGTATTTTATTGAATGGTTCAAACTTGTTTATTAGATATGCGTAAATATTGGGATCAACCATTTGATCTCAACAAATGCAAAAAGTACATAAATTTTGAGAGAATTCTACCTAATGTTTGACAAAAAATTTTTCATAATATTAAATAATTCTAAAAAAAAAGCAGCCAGTCAAGTCATCCAAAGTTTTCAAACAGCAAATTCTCTTTATTTTTATTTTGCTCTCTGAATATTTTCGTGAATGCATCATAATCCTTAATAACTTTGGTCGTTTTTCCATACCAGAATCGTAAAATGTTTTTTAAATCTTTTCTAAAAACACATTCCTAACATAATAAGGTTTATTGGTAGATTTTAATGTAGTAAATACTTTAACTTATTTTAACGATTTGTTTGTTAAGACTAGTTTATATATATAAATATTTTTTTTATTTAGATGTAGCAGTTGGAGTTGCAAATGGCTTGGTGTCAGTAGTTCAAGGAATTCGTGATAAGAATTTTTTAAGTATTGTAACTGGTAGCTTAGACATAGTTTCTACAATATTATCAATAACTGGTCCAGCAGGTGCAATTGCAGGATCAGTTATTTCTCTTATATCTTTTGGTTTATCTGCATTTTTTGCAAAAGGTCAGTATGTTTTTATTTATCATTTTTATTAAAGTAACTTCATTTTTAAATTTAAAATAGTTTTGCATTTATAGTATGGTAAATTTGTATTATCTAAAATGTTTTGAAATGATAGAACACTTGCTTTGTAAGCAAGATGTATAGAGTTTAAACTGGACACACCCCTGGAACTACTGCACTTGGCTAAAGCCGCGGCGTAGAGAAACAAGTTGAACACGGTACTACCAGGGATGTGGTGGGGATTGAACTCAGAACCTGTAAAGGGAGCACTCTGCCACTACACTGTCTCCACATTTACTGCATATTAGAGTGTAAACAATTTAAAAAAACCATAAAATAACAATCAACATTTATCTTTATTTCATACATTCAATTTTTAAAAAACTAATAAAAGCCATAAAAGATCATCAATTTTTTGACCTGTATGTTTTATAAGTTTTTTTTTTTTAATTTGAAAAATTTTGAATTTGTACTAATTTTTTTTTAAATGCATTATTTACATTTACATTTGTATATTTTTCATATCTATACGTTAAATTATTTAGAACAAAAATCACAGTCTCAAATTATATTGGATGGTGTTAAAAACATTATTAAAGAAAATGAATAACAAAAATTAAAGGACAAAATCGAAAATTACTTCAATGAGTTGAGCTATTTGGAGCAAGATATTGTTGGTTTGATGGAGTTTGTTCAACCAAATAAAAAAAATGAAAATTCCGATTTAGAAAAAATTGCAAATTTTTTGACCAGAAATCAAGATAAAATTGATAAAGTAATTTGAATTTTAAATCTTTCTACAAATTTATATAAAGACACATGTTCCATAACAATTCCATAAAAAATGTAAAATAATTTAAGTTTCATTTTGGTTATAAGTTTGTCCTCTTTTTACACACACACACACACATATTATATATATATATATATATATATATATATATATATATATATATATATATATATATATATATATATATATATATATATATATATATATATATATATATATATATATAAACAAAGCTATTCTCTATATAAACTTTAGTATGACAGAGAAGTTTTGAATCAATTAAAAATTGAGGTTCAAAGAGATTGTAGTTCAAAGAACTGCAATGAATGTCTTTCTAAAATGCAATACTATTTTGTTGCATCTAACCGATATGAAATACTTGCGCTTCACCTAGTTGGACTTTATGAACTGATTTTACAAAGTATAACATTTGTCACATCTAAAAATGACTATAATTCATTAAAAAGAAGAATAGAAACAAAGAGTAGTGATCGCAAAATGTTTTTAGATTACTTGCTCAATCAAAAACGCAGCAGCTCTTATAATGTCCAGGAGTGGTAAGTTCATTGTTTTGAGTTAACAATTTTACATTAATATATATATATATATATATATATATATATATATATATATATATATATATATATATATATATATATATATATATATATATATATATACATACATATATATATATATATATATATATATATATATATATATACATATATATGTATATATATATATATATATATATATATATATATATATATATATATATATATATATATATATATATATATATTACATGCTATAACTATTACTTTTTATGTAATCTTTGTGATTTTAAACGATTTAAAATTATAAAAAACAATAGTTATTTCAATAAAAGTTCCACTTTGCATAGGTTCATGAGCATCTGTTATATTATATTAAGAAGATAAATTAGATATACTAAAATTAGAGATGTTAAAAATAATTTTTTGAATTAAAAACATATATTTTTTATGTGTAAAACTATAGTTTTTGTGTATCATTTTTTATTTTTAAAAAACAACAGTTTTTATTTTAAGAAAAAGTGTTTTTATTCTAAAAAAAACAACTATTTTAGTTTTAAAAATAACTGTTATTTTAATTATCTTGTTTTATAAAAATATACAGGTCAAGTAAGTTTTTAATATGTTAAATTCTATAAAGAATTTATAAAAATAACTGTAATTATATTTTTTAACAAATTTTGTCTTAATATTTTTTTTCCTGTTTTTATGATGATTTACTTTTTTTCAATGAGCATATGTGTGCATGGAGTGATAAATAATATCAAAACATGTCTTTTGTTTTAGGAAATGTGTTGCAGAATACTATAAATATCCTGGTAAATTTGAGTTCATTGATTTTTTCGTTAAATATTCTGCAGAAAACACAGAATCAGGTGCAAGTCTAATTGTTTATGTTGGAAAAGATGAAAATTTTGATGAATACAATTCATATATAGCAGAGGAAAAGAAGGAGGTTAACCTAAAAATTTCAGCTAATTACAAAGACACACCATGGTTAAGTGAACTCAGATGGATTTTTGTTCCACGTAAATTCTTAATTCTTTTTTTTTAAATAATATTTTTATATTTTTTTAAACTGAATTTAACATTCCTATATTTATTATTTATTTTGTTGTTATGGTTTTCTTTTTCAATTACTTTTAATTTTTATTTCATTTTTTAGCAAAATGTCAAGTGACATTGTATCCTGATAACAAAGGTTAGTATTTTCTCACTTATATATTTAATATATTTATTTCTTTACTTCTGCAATTTTTATTTGATTACTTATTATTTCATTTAATGAACTATTTAACACATTTCAATTTTTTTTATCTTTAAGCTTAATTTAACATGACCAATGTTATTAATTCTTTTTGAATTAACATTATTTCTAACATAATTTTAAATAATTTCTAACACCTCTACTTGAGTCTAATAAACTACTTTCTGACAATCAATACAGTTTTTAATCTTCTTGTTATAAATATGGCTTGCTAACTGCTGTAAGTGAAAAATTCTATTGTGCATTAGATGGAGATAGTGAGGTAAGATATTTATTTATTCTTTGATAATAAATATGGTTTTAGTTCTTCTTGTTCTTAAGCTGAGTTGTTAACTGCTGTAACTAAAAGATTCTCGATATGATGCTAAGGGCTATTGCTCTTGACATATCTAAAGCTTTTATAAAGATTGGAATGCTGATATTCTTTATAAGCTTGCTTTATATGGTGCATCTGGGAAAATGTTTAAGTAATTTGAGTATTGAATTTTTGAGACATCTATGAAAGCCAAAATTCCTGTATTGTTTTTTATCTACATTAATGATCTTCCTGAAAAACTTACATCCAAAGTGACTCTATTTGCTGATACTCCTGTCTTGACAAAAAAGTTTTTTTGATTGCTTAAAACAGGCAGCCAATTTAAATATGATTTATCTTTTGTAATATATATATATATATATATATATATATATATATATATATATATATATATATATATATATATATATATATATATATATATATATATATATATATATATTCAACTCCAAAAAAAATCAGTTATTTACTGCAAAAAACTATTACAATAGTGTCCACATTCAAAAAAGAAATGCATATTATGCATTTCGTGGAAATAATAAATTCAATCAATTGCAAAGTTAGCATCTTCTAAGGCTGCTTCTTTTTATAATGCTCACCGTTACCTTACTCCTTAATCTACTTTTACATATCTCTTATTCTTATACTATCAAGTCCTATCTCAAGTAAATCTCTAGTTCTATCTACCAAAACTCATTCTAGCAAAAGACATTCAGCAAAGTTCCATCCTTTTATTGTTTCTGTTCCTTAATGCTCTAAAAACTTTTAATAATCTAGTTTTTTTTTCACGCACTTTAATGCTTTGGAAGTCTCTCAACTTATAAATCTTCTGTCAATCATTTCTTCACTCTTTAACATATGTTCTTTGTTTTCTAATAACTCCCAACTTAATAGTTATTGCTTGCAACCTTGTTTGCAATTGCTTGCAACCTTGTTTGCAATTGCTTGCAATCATTGTTTGGAGTGAATCAGATTTAAAAAAAAATTAGCAACAGTTTTATTTTATTCTTAATTTTTATTGTTACAGTTTTTGTCTAATCTTTACTTTTATTACATTTTGTAGAAGCAAAAAAAGTTGATATGACATCAAATAGCATAGGTTAGTTTTATAATGGTTTTATTTATTATGGTATTTATTTCATTATTTGTATCATTATTATTCAATTACTTGTCATTTGTTTAATGACCTACTTATTTGGTTAAAAATTTATCTGAAATTTTGTAAAATATTTAAAAATGTTTCGAAACATTAGGTATTAGTTATACAATTTTTGCAAAGCTTGCAGCGTTTCTGAAATGAATCACTGTGGTTTAAGTCTTACACATTGTGGTTTAAGACAATTACACATTGATTTTTTTAAACTTTTTTTTTTTTTAATACAAACTAAAACCTTTTTTAAGGTTTAGATATTATGTACATAACATATATAAAAATATTATACTCTGTAACAAACAAAACAGAGAAAATTTTTACAAAACCTTAAAGTTTCTATTGACATCAAAACACCAAGAGAAATTTGTTGCACATATATCATGATAAGCATCTCTAGGCTGTCATGATAAGCATCTCTATCATATATCATGATAAGCATCTCTGGGCTGTTAATGTACTCAGGAAATTAGTCTTAATAAGCTGCAGACAGTCTAAAAAAAATTATAGTCTGAAACTTGAGAAAAAATTTAATAAGCTCATCCTGCTATTTCAGAAGGTGCTATCGTGGAGGCTAAAAAAAAAAAGGAAAATAAAATAAAACACCAAGAATTACAATATAAAAACAAAAATCAAGCTCACAAATTCTTATTCCACAATAGTATTTAATGTTTGGATGTTAGTACCTGCACAGTTCAAAGATGCTTTTTCAAGGACTTTAACTTTATATTGTATCATGATTTGTTAAGATCATGCCTTACTCAAAAAAATATTTGTAATCATCTATAATTTTGCAAAGAACATTAGGGTTGGACTGTTAAAATGTGGCAATGTGTCATGTTTTCAGATAAAGCACAAGTTAACAGTTTGTTGCACACAAAGTAAATGCCTGCTACTTGTTAAAATCATGTGTCAATCCTCTATATGTTTCATCTTTTGTAAATTAGATTAAGCAGATATAATTTTATTTCAATCAATGTCAATGTTTGTGCAGGTTTACACTTTTTACAAGGCAAGACTAAAATTTAAAAATTTTGAACAACAAAGTGTCTTATTGGTTTTGAATTAGAAAGTTTAAGATTTTCATAAACAACCGGCCTATTGTGCTTGAAATTCTCATTGTTTTAATCAAAGATTATAAGTCTAGTTGGACAATACATTAACACTTTCACCACTACACATTTGTAAACTGATAACTGTGATAGTAAACTCTTACTGCTTTAGCAGTTTTATATCAAGTTAACCAATACATGTATTCAATTTTGAAGATGCCAGATTTTATATGAAATATGAAAATGAGATTTAAAATTTTGGTATAAAAAATGTCTTGTTTACAAAAATAGTGTTTATATTTTGGGCGGTTGAGGTTGGTTGATGTTTTAACATCTTTGTGCAGTTCATATTTATTAATGAATTTATGTTTTGCTTTTGTTATTTTTATAAACATTTATATTGATATATCTATTTTTTATGCAAAATTTTGAATCTTACCATCTTTAACTAAATCAGATTTAAAGGTCCATCTGTTAGTCTCCATTTACATGAGAGGTTTTATGGAATTGAACACATTGTTACTTTAAATTGTTTTAAATTTAATATATTTTGATTAATAAAACTTATAAATCATAGGTTAAGGCAAATCAAATGTTAGGACTTTTTTTAAAAAAATCTTGTTCAAAGCACATTATAGAGATGTCATTCTCACAACAGTAAAATGACACTATGTAACAGCGCTAAAAATATTTTGTTTACATAAATTGAAAATAGACAAGTTTAACAATGAAGATGAGTGAGGTGAAAGATATTGTTTTTTTTGTATTGTTAAATAGAAGTTTTATATTAAAATAACATAAAACTACTTCTATTCATTTTCATATTACTTTGATATTGTCTTAATATTTTTTATTGCTTTTAATGTTAATCTTTATATGTTATACTTTATATTTAACAAAATTCTTTCTGAAACATTATCTGTAATGTTGGTGAATACATTAACCAGCTTTGAGATGTTAAAATTTAATTTAAATGAATAAATACTTTTAAAAAACAATTTTTTTTTTTTATATTTAATGATACATTTGTTTAGAAATAAAAGGTCCGACACTTGTTCAAGTTCCTAAAATAACATATAAAGTATTGTATATTCAAAGGAGTGAACAACTTTCTGGAGAATACATTCGTATTTGTAAAAAGCCTAAAATGGTATTTAATAACTGTTATTTTCTATTTCTACATTTTTTATTTTATGGGAGACACTTAAAGTATAAAACTAGTTCACAGTGATCAGAAATGCTTAAAAATGAAAATTTCAAAAGCACTAAATTTTAAAGCAAACTCAATTTTTATGACTTATTAATTTTAAAATCTTCAAGAAAGTATACTTGGACTAATTTCTTTCTAGCGCACTTAATTTATTTCATTTTGTCCCATTAAAGGAGCCAGGGTAGAAAATAAATTATAGAAACTGAATAAAATATTTTTACTGTTTAAGGCTGAATTTTTTTAATATGTTGATTTCAGTTTTACAAATTTGGAGATAATTTGCATCAAGATTATTCTTAAAAGAAGCTCAGTGTGAAGGGATTAACTTGAAAGTCACAGAGGGAAGAATACCAGATCATTTTCAAAATTGACCAAATTTAAAAAAAAATTTTTTTTGGTCTTTGTCCAACTCTGTCCAAATCTGTAAAAACTTCACATTATTGATATAGAATTACTTAACCATTTATGCTTTAAACCATACCCCCTACATCCCCCTTTTAAAGTTAAGATAATTCGTTGGCAATCCTGAATTCCACGGCAAATTTATGCATATGGATGTATTTTTTTTTGCGGCTTAATTTTCACAAAAAAATTAAAACTAAGATTAAAATTTGCTAGGACATAACTTTTGATTAGGATATTGCACAAAAAAAGTTGGTTACTTTTGTTCTAAATTGTTTTTTAAAATGCAAAATTTAGAAAACATTTTGTAAAAATGAACTTGTTAATAACACTGCTTAAATTTTAATCTTTCGTATAATATCCATGGGTATCCATTGTCTATTTACTATTTACAACTTTATTCATTGCAGAGTAAGCATACACTAACTTTACAATCAATAAAGGTAAATAGATACTAACTTTATAATGGGTTGAGTATATGGTTTTCATGAGAGGTCATTAATGAATGATAATCAGAGAAGATGTAAAGTAGTGGGCTCATTGAGAGTTTTTTTTTTTTTTTTTTTTGCTTATTCATCAATATAGGAATATCAACAATATTGCATCTGTTGCATTGCAATTGTTGCATCAATATTGCAATTGTTTGCAGCAGTTAACTGAATTTTATTGTTCAGTTAACTGAAATTTATCCGCAGTTAACTGAAATTTATTTTTAGTTAAAACTCACAAGCCACTGAATGCCCCAGTATATAGTTATATCATCAACAAATAGACTTTAAAGTTTATAACCCTTTACAAGTTTATAACCCTGTGTTACCTCAAAAGTTACTGAAATCTGGAAAATGTTACAAAGTTAACTATTTGGGTAATGGGTTCAAAAATATAAAATGTATGAGCTTATTTGTAAAAGGTACTAAAGCACATAAATATGATTCAAACTTGATTACACAACACACTCATATATATATATATATATATATATATATATATATATATATATATATATATATATATATATATATATATATATATATATATATATATATATATATATATAAATATATATATTCGTATTTTAGTAATATTTAAACAGCTTTTTTATTGTGTGCACTTTAAAATTAATAAATTAGTATATTGTATACATTATTAATATTGTATTAATTAAATATATAGTACATATAACTATGTAGTATAAATTCTTTTTAGTATAAAAAGTTCTGTTACTTTTTTTTTTGTAGGAAGGAGCTTGCTTTCAATTGGAACCAAAAAGTATGAATAATTTTTTTTTCTTTGTTATTTTTTGATATAATTTGTTAAACAATATTTATAACATTGGTATGCCTTATAAAATTCTATCTTGATAAAAAAAGTGCATATATACATAACCGCTATAAATATGCATAAACTCTACCCTCACTCTATAATTTATTTTGTATAGGAGCTATTTCTAATCCTAATCATTTTGTTCATCTTGTTTTACAAGATCAACTCCCTTGAAAACAAACATCTTTTTATCATTGTATTAAATCATTACATAAAGGTGCTGCTTGACTCTAACCTTTATTGTTTCCTGATTATTTAATTTTTTGTTTTATCTCAGAAGTTATATTATATTGACTTTTGGAAAATGTTTTTATGTCAACATCAAATGTTGGTCATTATGTTATATTAGATTTATTAATAAATGATAAAACAAAACTAGTTTTGTTTTATCATTTATTAATAAATGATCATTTTATCATTGTATTAATAAATCTAATATAGTTAAAAATTATTTTCGAAGTTTTTCAACATTTTCTGGTCAGGCTTATTAACGCGCTCTTTATATGTATATATATATATATCAGTGAAGAACCCAGAGTTTATTTGGGGATACCGTTTTTTTTTCAGCAACGTTATGTTTTTGATTTCCCTCTCCCCCTCATTCTCCTGTAGTTAAACGGGTGCTGCAACAATAATTTTTAATCATCATGCTCTTATAAATCATTTATGTTTATCTTGTTCAGTTTTATCCTATAATAAGGTGTTGATTTAAAGGCATTTTTTGAATACATGAATTTACTGGTGGACGATGTTACTTTAGCTAAAAGAAAACTATTTTACTTAAGATTTTAATAAACGCTTTTGTTGCATATACCACGCCATCAGTAAATAATTATTGAAAATTGTTTAAAGTATTTTAAACAGTTATTAACTATATTTAATTTAAAATAATAATTAAAAATATTTTAAATAATTTTAATCAATATTTGCACTACATAATATATTTCCATATATTATATAACGTAATATTTGTATAATCAACAAAATAGTTTTACTTCTTGTATTTAAATTAAAAACATAAGCTTTTAATAAACAAATTTGTTAAGCATTTAAAAAACGTATTTAATAAACTGTTCGAATAAAAAGATTAGCATTTAATAAACTTAGATTCAATTATTTTAAATTTAAAATTTTGATTTAATATTAGTAAATCTGTTAATTTAACTTTTACCAAAGGTTATAATTTTTTAAGTGATTTTAAGGCGCCTTTTAAATTAATGATAATTGAAGAGATAATTACAGTAAACATAATTTTAAAAATATTCTATTATTTTGATTAAAAACCATATTATATTTTTACAAACATATATTTAAAAAAAACATATTTTTTTAATTATTAAGAATAATTTAAAAAATTCCATTTGAATAAATAAACTACATTTACTATGGGTTATTTTTAATAGATCTAAATAAAACTTTTATTAAGTTGAGACCTTTTTTTTTTTTTTAAAAAAAAAAAAAAGGTCTCAATAACTTAATAAAAGTTTAATAAAAATAAATTTTAATATTCTTTTTTTTTTTTTTTTAAAAAAAAAAAAAAGAATATTAAAAGGAAATAAAACTGTCTGAAAAAGTTTATACTTCGTTTTTTCCTTTTCCTCACGTAAACTAAAATAGCAAGCTAAAGATCAATTGTTGATTCATTTAAATTAAACTTGCGCGATAGTTACAAGGATAGATACAAGTTAGCGCGATAGACCTTTTTTTACTTTTCTTCAATTATTATCAAAAGCAGTTTACTTTTAAATGCCAAAAAAAAAAATTAACCTTACGCTGAAAAGATATTTAAAAACGCTCTATTTTTCAAAAAAGCAAATCTTTTATACCTTCTATTATAAAATTTTGCAACAAGGGTTAAGATTAAATTTTGTAACGACTTTCATTTTTTTTAAAGTTATGTCTAGTTAATTAGCGAAGGCAAATTATATCACGTAGTTATGTAAAAAAGCAGTTTTTTTTTTTAATTCTTTTTATTTTCCTGAAGAAAAAATGAGGTAACTAAACTAAACTGAAAATTATTTATATACTACTGCATTTAAAACTAAATTTTTTTTCTTTTTTTCATAAAAAATCAAAAGAAAAATTAAAAATAAAAATAACTTTTGGGCGCCCATACCGGTAAAACGGTACTAAAACACGTCTGGGTTCTTCACTGTATATATATACTTATTAATCATTTTTATTATATTTTGTAATTTATTAAATTTGGGTTTTAATAAACCATTGGCAGCAATTTTTTATTTAATAATACTTATTAATTCATTTTTATTATATTTTGTAATTTATTAAATTTGATTTTTGATAAACCATTTGCAGAAATATTTTGGAACTATTGATATATTTAACCATTGACATGATACTACCCTCATGTTTAAGGCCCCTGTGAATGAGACATTTAAACATTGAATCTCATAATAAATCACCTATATACTCACAAATCAAATAAAATCTTGAATCATAAAAGTAAACATAAAGTTTTTATTATGTTTACTTTTATGTGTAATAACAAACAAAGTTGCGTTAGTATTTTGCAGACTTCACATTGTTTTTAATCTTTAGTTTTCTCATTACCCTGACAATTATCTTGGACCAGCCTAAAGTTATTCAAATACACCTAATCTCTATTTTACAATATATACCACTAAAGCTATTTTAAATTTTCTTTACAGGCTTTACAATTTAAAGTAAAAAGTAAAAACAAAAACTTGACAAAATTAATAAAATTAAAATAAGATATCTCATTCAGAAAAACTTATTTTTTCTACTACTGCTAGAACAGAACAAGCTTCCTTTTTTTTTTACAGTATTCTGGTGTGCAATTATCACTATTTATGGTTGCAAAAAACCATAGGTAACCATTTTCTTAACCATGCAATATTGAATTCAGTTTTTTACTGAATTTGTTGATTTTTTTTACCTTAACTTGATTATACACAGCATCAAGTAGATTTCTTGGTAAGTTTTAAATGTTATTGTCATTTATAGAATTTATATAAGAACAGGATTTGCATAGTTTAAAACCAACTGATATTTCAATCAGAAGGTTTTCACAATTAAAAGGTTTTCACAATTATGAATTGTGCATAACCACTTTAAACCTTAAGTAGCACAACGTTTGGTGAATCAAGCCATGCATGTAGTTGTAAAAGTAACTTTTTGGAATATCTTTTACTGCCACTGATAAAGCTTGAGGAGGATCTTTTGCACATCTTTTATTTAAAGGGCATTTTGTAAGAGTCATTAAAATTGTTATATAGTTTTTGCATGACCAATTCAGCAGTTTAAATGTACTGTTAAACTTGGTTGTAATGGTGAACAGGATTGCTGAAGTCCTTGTTTAAGTTAATGTTTTTTTAAACATTTCAGACCTATATAAGAACTGTTGAAAAAACTTTGCAATTTTAGTTCCAAACTATTAAGGCTTTTGACTTACTGTATATATATATATATATATATATATATATATATATATATATATTTGAATTTCTTTTAATGACTTTAAAAGAAAGTCATTTAAAGAAATTAGAGAAAATAATTACATTGATATATATCCGTTTGATAAAGGTACCGGTTTCATAAGAATAGAACACAATAGAGCTATAGAAAAAATTTGCGAACAGATTGGCACAACTAAAATTATTAATATAGATCCTACTCCTAGTTACGCAGCTAAAGTAAGGTCTTAATAAAACTATATAATAAAACGCAACTTAATAAAAAACAACAATTTTAGAAAACAAAATATGATAGCATATACCCTAGTGATCTCGTACCACCTTGTTTATATGGTCTTATCAAGGCTCATAAACCCAACAAATTGTATCCAATGAGAGTTGTGGTATCAACAATCAGCACATCAAGCTATGGAATTTCAAAGTACTTGGTTAAAAAAATACAACCAGTTTTGAATGAAAATCCTATAAGCTTAAAAAGTTCCAATGATTTCATCAACAAAACAAAGGCCTGGATTATCAATAAGGACGAGTTACAAGTATCTTTTGATATTGTAAATTTATATCCATCAAATCATTAAATAAAATAACAGTTATTCTTTTAGATCAATTAAATAAAAACATTTCCTGTAAAAACTCAACCAAACATAATATAGTAGAAACTAAACAACTAATAGAACTTTGCTTATTTCATAGTTACTTTATGTGGAACAACAAAATACACAAATTAGAGAACTCAGGCCCTATTGGATTATCTTTTATGGTTGTTTTAGTTGAGTCGTTTCTATTATTATCACGATATTAGTACCACGAGGAAAATGCATTAAAAATAGCAAAGAGTATAAATCCTTTTATTGATATTAAATCTTTTCTTCGATATTCATGGCGATAGTCATGCTAGATTTCCTAATTTATAACAAGGAAAACAATCCAAAATATACTTAACAAACAACATCCATCATTAAAATATACAATAGAAGCTGAAAATGAATTGAAAACACTAAATTTTCTTGATGTCACCATAATTAACAATGCTAATGGTTAATACGATTTTAAAGTTTATAGGAAAGATATATAACCAATATTCAGATTAAACCTCATTCAAATCATGATCTAGAAATTTTAAAATCAATATTTAAAGGTTATATTCATAGAGCTTACAGCATATGTAGCAAGGCATATCTTCAAGAGGAGATTGATTTTTGAATTAATATATTTAGTGGAAATGGCTGTAACAAAAGTCAGCTTCAAATCATTGCTAACTAAGTTAAAATAAAAAGATCTACTAATATGAATGAAATCCCTAATGCTAACAAAATTCAAATACCAACAAATCCAAATGTACTTTCTACAATCTCTTTACCTTGGATACCATTATTATCCCCAAAACTTGCAAAAATATTTCGGAAAGCTGGTTACCGCACTGTATTTAAATCTAATCATAATTTAAGGACTCTACTAACATCAAAAAACAAATCAAGGCTACTGGACAACAGTAAACCTGGAATTTATTTAATTGAATGTAATTGCTCCAAAGTGTATGTTGGTGAAACAAAATTACAAATCAGAACAAGATCTCAACAACACCAAAAATGTTTGATGGAAGATAAATATTATCAGTCGGCTATAGCTCTTCATAAAAAAGACTGTAGAGAAGAAATTAATTGGGATAAAGTTAAAACACTTAAAGAAGAATGGAATAAATTTGATAGGAAAGTTCATGAAGCAAAAACATCAATTTATGATGGAATAAATTTAGATAACAGACAATACGTTAAAACTAAATTTTGGACTCCATTTGTTGCAATCTTGCGTCAAAGAATCCATTCTAACGCTGACATCAAAGGCGTCAAATATATATATATATACATATATGTATATATATATATATATGTATATATATATATATATATATATATATATATATATATATATATATATATATATATATATATATATATATGTATATATATATATATATATATATATATATATATATATATATATATATATATATATACATACATATATATATGTGTGTGTGTATATATGTATATATATATATATATATATATATATATATATATATATATATATATATATATATATATATATATATATATATATATATATATATATATATATATATATATATATATATATATATATATATATATATATATATATGAGTATATACTACAGTTTAACGCTGAGAAAATGTCTTTGGTAAAAAATGGTTCTTTGCTTTATTGTGGTATTAAAGCTGACAGAATTAAGGTTAGATTATGTCAAAACACATTATATTGATTGCAGGAAGTAAATAAACCACAAAATCACAAATTAAAAAACTGGAATGTTTTTAAAAACATAAAGAATGTTATATCAGGATTGGTCAGGAAGGCGTGCAATTGCATGCCATTTTATGACCACACAAATAATACTTTATTTTGACAATTGGCCACTGTTTCTAACATTTTAAAAATGCTCTGAAAAAAATTATTTTGAATTGCGTCAAAAATAAATAACTTTGAAACTTTTATCTTCACTAACGTTTTTATATTTGCAAAATGCTTTTAAATAAAGTAAAAGTTACTGTTAACGTTTTAATTTAAAGTATAGATGTAAGTTGTATAAATTTCATCTATACTTTAAAAATAAAAGTCGTATAACTTGTTGAGAAGAAAAAAAGACAAACTTTTGAATTAAAGACAGCTGTTTGAATAAAACTTTGGTCTTTACTAACGTTTTTATATTATTAAAATCCTTTTATATAAAGTAACAATTCACTGCTAATGATTTTTTTACATTTAAGTATTAATGTATTTTTCTTTCGTCTTTAAATAAAAAAATTATTGATGAAAGTTAATATACTCAAAATATAACAAATTTTTTTTGCAAGAATGCAAGTTGAAAAAAAATATATATATAGTTTATATAAATTTTATAATTTTTATGATTTTTTTTTCTTAAGTCTTTAAAAAAAAAAATTGAATTACTAACAAATTAAATCAAATTATCAATTAAAGGAATAATTTTGTTTTTCGTTTTCATCTTCACTTTTCCTCATTTGCTTTCTGATATTAGATTTCTGACAAAAGAAAAGATTTAATTATTTTTCTTTTGTCTTCATTACTATGAAAAATTGTAAAGTTTTTTTTTGTTGTTATCTTTTAAATGTGGGTATTTATTAAAATATCGTTATTAAAAAAAGTTTCCTCGTTAAGTTTGATCGTTTTTTTAAAAAATACAACTAATGCGCAATGAAATTTTTAATAAAAACCAAAGTGTTTATTTACATTTTTTGTCGATTAGTACTATTTATTTATTTATTTTTTAATATTAATATAATTTTATAAGGTGCGGTAAAAAAGCAGACTCGTCTGCTTTGTTTTACATTATAAAAACATTAGTAAAGATTCGAAGTTATTTATTTCAAATGTAATTATCTTATTGTTTATTATTTTTCCTTTATTTCTTTTATTTTTGTTTTAGTTATTTATTACTAAGCTATTTTTATTTTATTTTTCATTATTTTTTTAAAAAAAGCTTGTTTTTTTAGTTTCTTCATAACTAAGTTAAGTTTTAAAATATTAAAAGTTAAGTATCAAAATGTTAAAACTGTGGTCAAATCATCAAAAATATTATTTGCGTGATCGTATAAAGCCATAAAATCGCACACCTTACTGGCCAAGTCTGTTATATGTATATACACACTTATATATACACACATAAATATATATATATATATCAACCCTCAGAATAAGGGTCGGCATTCTGCATTCACACCTAACTGCCGACCTGAAAATTTTTGAGGTCGGCAAAAAATTGCCAACCTCAAACACTTTGTTTTATGGTCAAACCTTTGTATCAAATAATTTTGGCCCACCTGATGCCGACCTTAAAAATATATTAATATATATTAATATACATACTTTTCATATATATATATATATATATATATATATATATATATATATATATATATATATATATATATATATATATATATATATATATATATATATATATATATATATATATATATATATATATATATATATATGTGTGTGTGTGTGAATAATACGATTTAATAATTATTTGTACTAAAAAAATAATTAAATAAGAAGTTTTTTGTTTACGTTTGAACAGGTTACTGTTTATAATAAAATATAAATAAGAAAATTAAACATGATAATCTGTTGTGATATTAATAACAACAGATTACAAAAATTTGTTAACTTTAAGGTTTTGTATTTTTGTCTTTGTATTTTTTTGTTATTTACAATTTTTTTAGATTTAAATTCGCAACAATCTATAACTATGTTGTTTCCAGCTGAATCTCTATACATTCCTAGTGGTTGGAAAGTGAATATGCGTACATCAGGTTTTTTCAACACAGAAAGTATATACATGTTTTATTTTTTTCTTAGTTTACCCCATCCTTTTTTACTTATAACAATTATTTTGTAAGTCAAAAATGAGTAATTACAAGCAAACTTTATGTCTTGTCAATAACATTATCAAAGATACTTTATTATCAAAAAGTCTGTGCTTTTTGATAATAGAAGTTGCAAAAAAAGAAAAATTAATTAGGAGTTGCAAACTACCAATAGCTTATTAGTTTTCTGTTAAATATTTATTTTTTCTAACGTTCTTTCAATTTCACATTTCAAGTTTTATTTTTTTAGCTCAAGTTTTTAAAATGTCAAAAACGGAACTGTTTTGTAGACAGTTTACAAAGATGAAATTCTATACTTCATAAATAAGTGCCTTATTAAGTATGTGGTATTACCAGCTCAATTAACACAAAAAAAATAATTTAACAAATCTATTAAATCAATTCAGCATTTATTATATAAAACTAGGTTAGAGAGAATCCTTGTAATCAAGCGCAGAACTTATTGAGAAGTGGGTGACTTGTTCCTGCTATATAAAAATGTTTTTAGTTTTTAAGATAATAAATAATTCTGTTTAAAATTATTGTTCTAAATAGCAAATTGAATGGCAATATAAAAATGGAATATTGAAGGTCAATATATAAATCTTTTTTTCATAAAGATAAACAAATATTTAAAAATGTGCTTACAAAAGCATCTAATTTAGTTCATGGATTACATAACTTTTCATATCATCTAAGGTTATTGAAGATTGTAAAAGTTGTGTCATGCAAATTTTTTCAAGAAGAATTATTAATTGTAATACTAATCAAATAAGGAATTGGTCATTTGTGAATATTGTTATGAAAATACAGTTATATACATGATAAATATGACAGGTTGACAGACAATCATGCTTATACAATTTTTTTTTTGTAAACCTTTTAATTTCTATATATTGTTGCCAAACTTAATAGTAGTGCTGTTAGTAGTAGTGCCCTTTCGAGAGTGTCACGGAACCCTTGGAAGCCATTGCAACTGAGGTAATGGTGAGAAAGAGTCAGCACTTTTTTATAAAAAAAAATCAACGAAAGTGTATGCAAATACCTAACTTATGTAACCTTGAAATTACATAATGTTAAAACATATTAAAACATGTACCAAGTTTTACATTTTGACTTTCACTTGAAAACTGCATATTAGCAATGTCTGCTTAATTTTGATCTATAGCATTTACTTCCATTAAAAATATTGATATATAGTTTTCATTTATCAATGTGCCAGAATGGCATAGTGGATAGCACGCAGAGCTTCTGAAGAAAAAAGTTAGTTAAATTAGAAAAATTAATTTCACCACTAGTGAAATTAATTTTTTTCGAAAAAGTTAATTTCATTTTTCTTGAAATTTTATATAGATTATATATAAACATATGTAACAATATAATATACTTTAAATGAAAAGATTTTTAAAAAAGCTAAATATTCTAAAAACATCAAAAACACCAAGAGAAATTTTTTTTGTGTATGTGTCATGATTGAGTTACTTATGTTATTAATGTGCTCAGGAATTTATTCCTAATAAGCTGCAGATGGTCTGGGAAAAAAAAATTGTCTGAAACTTAATAAAGAAAAAAACTTAATATGATATAAAAAAAAGGTTGTAGCTAGAAAAAACTCTAAAACTTTCTTTTTTTTTTTGCTACATTAGTGTTTTTACTATAAGTATATGCTGCAGCCGTTTTTCAAAACACCTAAATATGCTTAATATGTTTTTCGAGAAAAACTCAGTTGAAAAAAATTATTAGGAGAAACTCTTTGTAAAACTTTTATTGAAACAAATAATTTTTAGTATAGTATATTGTTGCTTGCAAAGAAACATATAAATCATTTTTTAATATAAATCATTTTTTAATATAAACTAATTTTTTTTAAAACTTTGTTGCGCTTATTGATCCCTATATACTATATATTGTTTATAAAATGTAAAAAATCTACTTATATAACACTTTATTCAGGATCATATGTAATATAAGAAAACTTTTCTAATAACTACAAGTCTTTTTTGCTCAATCTATTTTTTTTTGATTTTTTGTATGTATGTTATTATATTTGAAAAAATTGACAAGATTGAAAAAACACAAAACATATTTACACCCAAATGGAAAATTTAAAACTTCAATTTTAGATATATCCCTCCCTTGATAATTTCTGATTGGTAAAATTACGTCATCTGCTTCTTAGACCATTAAAAATGTTAGGCACAGCTTTTTTGTAATTCATTGAAACTAAAATTTTTTTTGCGTATGTGACGTCATTTTGTGGTAAAAAACTAGAAAAACAAACTAGAATCAGGATTTTTTTTTTAATTTTTTCAGGAAAACTCCTTCTATTAAATATATATTGAATATATTTTTATGGGATGTATTTTGAATAAAGACAAAAACTATTTATTTATTACTATTGTAATAAATACAAACTCTTATCTGTGAAGTGATATATCTGTACCAGTTTTATATTTTTTTGTGCAATTGTATGTAACATAATTAAAATTAATCTAAGAATAAATGCTAAAGGAAACTTGATGCATAAAGGTTTATTTTGCCACAAACTGATGTCAATGTGCAATTTCTTTTGGCTTAGTGTTTTAATTTTTGGCTTAGTTTTTAACTTTTAGTTTTTAATTATAATCATAAGAATGAACTTTTTTTTATGACTATGTTTTAGTGGTCCAAGATCTTCTTAGTTCCGTTTGTATAGCGTTACATACCTATGTCTGTAACTGTAAACGTCTTTAGCGTATGTTGAGTTTGCAAGCATTATATGATATAATCACGTTTTATCTATAAAATGAGAAAATATTGAAGTTAATAAGGAATAAGTATAGAAATAATCAGTGTGGAATAAATATGTAGAGAAATGGTAGATTTGGTAACGATCTGTATTTTACGAAAGTTTTACGAAATTTTACAAATATTTTTCTGGAAAGCCAGGATATATAATGAAAAAGTATAGAAAAGTTCGGTTTGGATTAGAATTACAAAGACCCATATTTTTACGGGTCTGATCTGAACTAGTTATAGATTATTAATTTATAAATAAATACAATAACATTAATAAAATACAACATAATCAAAACAGATATAAGTTAATAATTTGATGGAAATCTGTTTATTGTAAACAGTTTTAAAAATTTGTTAAACATCATTGAAAACAACAAGCTTATCCATTAAAAATCGTTTACAGTAATAATAAAAACAAAATAAAAATAATAAATACAAAAACAATATTAATTGTAATAATAATTGAAATAAAGCGCGTACACAAAATAAGAGTGAAAGTAGAAAAACAACTATAAAAAGGTCCTCGTCAACTTTTATTCAGAACTAAGTATTAATTTAAACACATTAATATTTTTTTTTTTTTTTTTTAACATCTTCGCTTCCAACAAGGCTGCAAGCAACCACTAATTAGTGTTGGAAGTTACTGGAAGAGAAAAGATGAAGATTGTAGAGCAAGATAACAATTGACAGACAATTTATATGAATCAGGAAAGCAAGATGAAGGAAGCGAATTCCAAAGAACTGATGTTCGAGGAAAAAAACTAGACGAATAAGAGTTTTTGGAGCACTTAGTAACAGTAACAGAAAAAGAATGAGAATTAATTGAATGACAAGTAACACGAGAATGAATTTTTGTAGATGGCACAAGAGACACTAGCTCTTTAGAGCAGTGCCCATTATAGTATTTGTAGAAAAGAGAAAGAGAAGCAACATTACGACGATGTGACAGAAGTTGAAGGTTGGCTGCAAGAGTAGATCCAAATATGTTTACAATGCGTTTTTGCACCTTGCCTAAAAGAGAAAGGGCATCATTAAAAGATCCACCCCAGATATGGCAACACTATTCCATACAAGGCCGGATTTTAGATTTATAGAGATAAAGAATATAATCCAGAGTAAGAAAGTGACGAGCTCGATAAAGAGAAGCAACTTTAGCAGATGCTATTTTTGCAACGGATTTGATATAAGGTTACCAAGAAAGATCAGAAGTAAGAGTTAATCCTAGAAGATGAAGGGCAGGAGACTCATCGCGTACATTACCGTTCATAAATATAGGAAGGTCTAAATTATTGCGATAATGATTGGCTGAAAAAAATTGAGTTTTATCTGAATTAAAGTTCACCAGCCACTGTGAGCCCCATGCTGTAACAGAAGTGAGATCCTTTTCAAGCTCAGATGCCCCATGCAAGCAATCAGAGGGAGTTGGCTTCTTATCGTGACAAGAATAAATGGTAGTATCATCAGCAAACAATGCCATCTTAGATGTGAGAAAATCTGGAAGATTGTTAATGTAAATTAAAAAGAGTATAGGGCCAAGGATTGAACCTTGGGGAACCCCTGAGGTTACAGAATAAGAGGAAGAGTGCTGTCCATCAAGGACAACTTTTATACTACAATTGGAAAGGAAGGATTCAATAATCTTAAAGATGTTTCCAGATACACCGTAAGAAGAAAGCTTTTGGAGAAGACCAGCATGCCAAACTTTATCAAACGCCTTAGAAATGTCAAGAGCAATTGCCTTAACCTCTCTACCTTTATCTAATGCGCGATAAAACCTATCGGGTATTACTGATAGCAAATCAGCCGCAGAACGAGAGAATCGAAATCCATATTGATGATCAGAAAGTAGGTTATGAGATGAGAGATTAAGTGTTTGTTAATTAAAGATTTAAAAACCTTGCTTATGATAGGAAGAAGAAGAATGGGACGGTAGTTAGACGAATCAGATCGCTCTCCAGAATTTAAAAAAATAGGGATAACAGATGCTGCTTTCCAGCAGGCTGGAAAACAAGACTCTGATAAGCACTTGTTCAATAGTTTTGAAAGGATAGATGACAGCTCCGGAGAACACTTCTGCAAGACTATAACAGGTATGTTGTCTGGGCCGCAAGCTGTAGAAGAGTCTAAGCAGGAAATCACTTTAGATACATAAGCTGGATTGATATGGATGTTGAGCAATGGATCAACCTGTTTGACGGCTATATCAGGTAGAATGCAACTAGTGGAATCAAGAGATGATATTGATGAAAAGTTCTTGGCAAACAGTTCAGCTTTGTCTTTAGGTGAGGTGACAAAGTCTGAACCGTACAAAAAAGGTGGAATTACAGACTTGCCGTTATTATTGATACTATTAAAGATTCTCCAGAAGTCTTGAGACCCTAATTTTTGTGATGAAATACGAGATTTCATGATCTGAGAATAGCGGGCTTTGGCGTTAGACAAAACCTTTTTACAATGGTTCCTAGCAGTAATAAACAGATGTCTGTTTTCTGGAGAATTGTTTTGCTGATAGATATGAAAGTTATGGTTTCGATTAGCAATTGCAGCAGCACAATGTGAGGAAAACCATGGAGAAGAGTGGGGCTTGACCTGGAATTGTCGAGAGGGAATAAAGGATTCTATGCCAGCCTGAATCCACATAGTTATGTAAGAAGCACATTTGTCAACAAGAAGACGAAAGATTTCTACCCAGGGGCCATCACGAAGAAAATCACAGAAATAGTCCCAGTCAGCTTTAAGGTAGTTGTAAGATGTACAATGATAGGGGGATTCTGATGGTAAAGAAGAATGAGATAATACTTTTAGAGAGACCAAACCATGATCAGAAGTACCTAAGGGTGAGTGTGGTGTAACTGAGCACTGACTAGGATTAGAAACAAGACATAAGTTGAGTAGAGAAGGTAAATGATTCGGGTTGTCTGGAAAGCGAGTTGGAAAGTTGACTATTTGAGTTAGGGATTGAGAAAGGCAAAAGTTGTGGGCCTTAATGCCTGCGGAGTCACTGACACTAGAGCCAAGCCATTCAGTGTGATAAACATTAAAGTCACCAACAACAACAATATTGGCTGATGGATAAAGAATAAGGGCTTGGTCAATATAATCAGAAATAACATCAATAAGAGTGCAGTCTTGAGATGAAGGTGAGCGATATAGAACAAAGAGAAAGGTGATAGAGTGAAGTGGTGCTAAACAAAAGCACATAAAAGAGTAGTCTGTGGATTCAAACCAAGTTTCCCGACAAATGGGTGAATTCTTACGAATGTAAATGCCTAGGCTAAGCATGTGACTATTGGAGTCTTTATGAACTAAAGGAAGATAACCATCAACACTAAGATCACAAGATGAGACAGCTGAACTCAAATTAGTCTCACCAAGAGCAAGTAGGTCTGGTGAACTTTGCAAGAGATAAGACTCAACAGAAGAAAAGTTACTTCGAAGACCACGAATATTGGTGAATGATAGGTTTAGCGAACTTGGTGATGACTGTGGTTTTTTGTGTTTTACAGTTTTTGTTACTTTATTCATTTTTAAATTTGTTAAAGAACTTGGCTCGAAACATAGTACTCAAACACTTTTTTATAGCCCAAGCTATTGCCTCATTTCCACTAATAAACCCTAAGCCGTAACAAAGAGCTCCAATGTGGCCTTGGCAATGCACACCAAAAGTACAAACAGGGACACCATCCATGTGCAACATGGCACTGTTAGTACTCTGATATTTTTTAGCTGTTGATGGAATCAGCCTCTCTGAGAGCTACCACAGAGTTCAGGAAACCTGACTACCAGCTGGCCTCAGAACCATAAAACTGAGTTTTAGAGCTGTACCCTCATCTGGAGATGATAGAATGAGTTGCCTAGTCATAAAAACAGAGACACAAGCAAAACCCATGCATCAAGTCAAGAACACATTATTATAAGAACACATTAATATTAGAAGATAAGATATTTCAAAGAAATTATTTTAATTCTGTGGGCATCTAATAGAATTTTGAACTTTTGCTTTGGTGGTACCCATAAATTTATGCACAAAAAAACACTCAAAACTACTTAATGTTTTTTAAATTACATTTTTAAATCTTTTACATTTCTTCATAGTTTTTTTTTTTTTTTTTTTTTTTTTTTGCTTAATAGTTACCCAGTACTTTGCAATAATTTTAAAATATAGGCAGTTTTGAGGATTTGCTCTTTTTAACACAATGTTGTTTTGTTTGTATCATTCCGAGCCAGTTTGCTATAATAACTTGATGATAAATTAGGCCAGAACACATTTCTACTATAATGTGATTTAGTAAGAGGCAAAAGACATATTAAACACTATTTAACATATATTTTACCCGAAAGTGAAGACTCAGAAATAAAGGTGCTGATTTTTTGTCAGACATGCCAATAGCCTGTCTGACAAAAAATGCCAATAGCCAATTTTCTTATTTGCTTTACTTCTATATCTAGTATTAAAATTGACAGCACAAGGAATTAGCTGATAATAATACTTCATAAAGATTTCATCATCTTTATTAATTCAGAAATTTTTAGAAATATAATTGTCATAAAACCTTTTTTCAATGGGTTCTTGCCTCTTTTTTTTTTATTTTTAGAACGGTTATTCACTTTTTGTGATTTGAAAGCTTGAAAAACATGTTCATTTTTAACTTTTATAACAAAACTATTAAAAAAATACTCATTTTTTTGCGCGTTCCCATAGTGACAGGCTTAGGTTATTCATAAAACTGTTAACCAGTTTTCTAACCAGTTTTATATCTTGAAAAACCTTCTTTCCTCCATTACCAGATTTGTGTTGTAGCAAATATGTTTGGGAAAACGTTAAATAATGTGACTAACGGTGTAGGAATGTATTTGCAACCTTTTTGTAACTGAATTGTAGCTTTTATTCAGGTTTTCCATAATATTTGTGCAAAATATTTTTTCTAACGTCTTCTGCTTTTGTCATTTTTAAAATTTATTTTAAGTTAAATGAGTAAACATTTTTTCGAAATTGTTACATGTTGTCAACACAGTTAGAAGTATTTTAATACAACCTCTGAAATGACGAATTTACTTTTTAAAAAGCTTTAAGTAGATAGAGATTTTCATATCTACTTAAAATCTCCATTACCAGATTTGTGTTGCAGCAAATATGTTTGGGAAAATGTTAAATAATGTGAATAACAGTGTAGGAATGTATTTGCAACCTTTTTGTAACTGAATTGTAGCTTCTATTCAGGTTTTCCATAATATTTGTGCAAAATATTTTTTCTAACGTCTTCTGCTTTTGTCATTTTTAAAACTTATTTTAAGTTAAATGAGTAAACTAAAACATTTTTTCGAAATCGTTACATGTTGTCAACAAAATAATTATAATTATTTTGTTGACAATTAGAAGTATTTTAATACAACCTCTGAAATAAAATGACGTATTTACTTTTTCACATTTGTTTCATGCACACGCTTTAATAATAAGATAACAAAATTATTATTAAATGTGTATTAATAATTACAATATTAATAATAATATACTTTAATAATAAGAAATATATGAAATATGAAAAATAATGATACAATAATAACTAATAATTTTAAGTAAAATAATAATTTTTAATAATAGTTAATGAGGATGGTATCACTCATACAGAAGTATGAGTAATACAAAAGTATGTATATACAGAATATACAGTATATATATACAAAAGTATATATATACAGAAGTATGAGTAATACAAAAAGAAAAACACCAAAAAATTGTGAGAAAACAAAAGAGTTCAGTGCAACTAGTAAAACTGTTACTAAGATCTAATCAGATTTTTGAATTTTTCAATGATCTTGTTCACCAAATCATTTATTGAAATGTCAAAATTTTTTTTACAAAAGTTAATATTTTGTGCAATAACCATCAAGACAGGCTGTTTTTCTAGCCTGTCAATTCTGTTTTAGACACTTTTTGTTGCACTTGATTACTCTGCTTAAGCCTATATATAAAGATTTTTTTAGTTGCATATATTCCTGTAAATATATTCAAAAATTTAAATTCACTGTTATTGTTACAATTTTTTCCTATGTTATAGTATTATTATATTATCACTAGTGTTATTATTACTGTTGGTTTAAACTTGATGGTTCATAAGTTCAAGACATCCAAAGAGACCTTTTAAAGTTTTAAACTTTATTATTTTGTGTAAAAAAAATTGTTTTATCATAGACTATTTTTCACTTGAGTTTTAACATATTTATTTTAGAAAATTTCATAAACATCAAAGGACCTCTTACATTAGAGTACATTTGTCGTGAAGGTTTAACACTCGTTGAACTTAGTGGATTCTCCAATGCAAATCCTCCCAAAAATGAAGTCAAAATATGCTCAGAAATAAATTTTGGTGGATGGTGTGACTATATTGATACAAAAGTGAGTAACTCTAATTTTTTTGTTTAGTTAATAAATCTTTTTGAATATGATTTATAAAATGGTGTGCTGTTGTACCAATCTTGCTTAACAGGGCGGAGTGATATTCATAGCAAAAATATAGATATAGATTTAATTAATTTTATATTTATCATTTTTTTTAATGTTTTTTAGTTCTATCTGTTTTTTGTTTTTTTTCTAATTTTTTCTGATACCTTATTATTTTGATGGTTTGAATGATCAAATTATGTTAAATTGAATTTAAAACTTGAATTCTTGTGATCAGACTTTAGTTTGTTGTTCAAAATCATAAGTTTATTACTTACTTTCCTTCTTTTTTTTTTTTACTTTAATTTGAAGCAACATTAAATAATTTTATTTAAACTAGGGTGGGGTGGAGTAATATGGTTAGAATTTTAGGTATATATTTTTTTAATGCAATTATTTTTTTAGTTTGTAACCACCAAAAAACTGCTGTTGTTTTTCTTTACATTCAATGTGTATACAATAACTTCACAATGATTAAAACATAAATATATTTTCAATAACTAATCCTAAAGAAAAACATAAATATATTTTCAATTACTAATCTTTTTTTAATAACACCTTTTAATTATCCATATTACCCCACCAGTGCGGTAATAGGGATAAATATCTGTATTGCCCCACTGGTGGGGTAATACGGATACTTATGGGGTAATACGGACACTCATTTATATTTAGTTTTATTCTTCTCTTTTTCTTGCAACCTTGCAACAACATTTTGAGCTGTTAACAATTTGAATGGAAGTCATTAATTTCCTGTGATTATTTGTACCAATAGTCTTGCATAGATATTTTATTTCAGCCATAATAATTTATTTCAGTCATCATTTTATCTAAAATATTATAAAATTGACTTTAATTATATAAAATTTAATTATAAAGTAAAATATGATAATAAAATAAATAAAGTAAGAATTACAAAAATAAAATAAAATATTTAGATCAGGGTTAAAGGTTTACCCGAGCCAGGGGAAACCAGGGAGCCAGGGGAAACCAGGGAGCCAGGGGAGTTCAGGGAAAACAATTTTGAACTATGATCTTAATGTAAATAATTCAGTATCATTATATAAAATTAATATAAGTAACTGAAAAAATGTTTAATGTTATCATATAATATATCCATCTAACTATATTTAAAAGCCTAAGTGAGCATAAGTATATAAATGTAGCTTATGATTTTGTAACAAAGTTCTATAATGTTAATGAATTTTGTATATTTTATATATATCCATTTTACCCTCTATCATTTTACCTGTATATCCATTTTTCCCCGTTTTAGGTTGTTTTTTTTTTTTTATCAATATGAGTTAGAGAACTTATAAATTAAATTTTATATGTTGTTACATCATGATCCAGCTAATAAATTTACATCATTATTCTTGTATAAGTAATATTACTGAAGTCTGCAGACAAAAGTTTTGAAACATGTTTTTTATATTTTTTTCAAAATAAAATGTTTTACATTTTAACTATTCATGTAAATTAAATATAAACATTGTTAATGCAAAAAAAGAAGCTAATTTGTGTATAAACTGTTGGTAGTTTTTAGGTTTTAGCATTATGTATAGATAACTTACTCCACGCATATTTATTGAATATATCCATATTACCCCATCAATCCATATTACCCCACCCTACTCTATTTTTTTTAATGTAAAAAATCTAATAGCTGTGTATGTATATTTTTCTCACAAATTTTTTTTATTTAGTAACATCACAGATTAAACTCCATTTGTTACATTTTTGATTCAAAGTTACTAGAATTCAGATTACTAGATAACCAAACTTAAAATCATTAATATGTTTTGAGCGTTTTAATTAATGTAAATCTCGCCTTAAAATGGCTTTTAAATGTTTTAGTTATGAATTTATCTTTTCTGTTTTCATTATAAACCATGTCATGTCTCAAACTGAAAAAACGCATTTATGATTTTGATAATACGAGATAATAATAAATAAATATCAAAACTAACAAAGGTGAACATGTTCTTTACTAACTCTAATTCTAAAATGATAAACTGAGTTTAAGTTTATGAGCAGTTTTTAAAGAATTTTATCTCTTTATTTTTATTTCAGTTTTCATTATAAATCATATGTAAATTTATTATGAGACTGTTTTTGAGCGGCATCCTATATTTTAAAAAATATGTATGTATTTTAGCGCATTTGTGTCAACTTTCAGTGTATTTTTTTTATGAAACTTTTAAAACAATTTATGCAACTTTTTGCAACTAGTTTGAACTAATGCAGTTTTGTATTTACGTTGCTTTGATTGAAATGCCATTCTGATCCTTTTGCACCGACTATAAACTCTTGCACGGTGTTAGAAAACTCTGGCAATCGCATCTTTATTAGTTCTATTTCCTTGTTAATAAAAAAAAATAAAATTAGCTTTTTTATTTAAATAGTTAAATATATGTTTTAATATTTAATACTGGTATATTTGTTATTATTATTGTTTTACTTTTGAATCTCTATCTACTTAAGTTCGATAAAAATGTTCTACATTCTTGTGATTGGAAAAATATAAGAAGTTTTGAAATTCCGAAATCGAAAGAAATGAAAGTAAAAACGGATTGTCTTTTATCATGTTTTCGTGGCCCGGATATTGCTGGCTATACTAAAAGTTCGAGTGATACTGAAATAACAAAAATTTTATCCGTTAGTGTTGTTTCTTTTAATGTTAAAAAATCGCAATTTTAAAACGGTTAAAGAATATAACTTTGAAGTTTTAAAAGTTTTGAAAGTTAAAATATTTTTATTTTATTTTATAAATTATTTTAAATTATAAATTTTTTGTAATATTTACTCGCAATATTTATTGTAATATTTAAAATGGTTTTTTAAAATTTGAAATGTATAAATTTATTTTTTGGAACGTAAGTATATGCAGTATGAGACAAATTTCTTCATACCACTATATTTTCTTTTCATATTATATGTTTATTTTTTATTGCTATATTTAAAAAAATGCGTAAACATGATTAAAAAAAAATTGTTATTTATGATATTATATTTTTATGTTAGTAGATAATAATAAAAGTACAATTTTATATATTACATTATATTTAAATATTATGTATTTTATTTATGTAACCTTTATAAGTCAATTTGTGAAACTTTTTGCTACTAGTTTGTATTTATGCAGCTTCAGATTTATGCTGCTTTGCTAGAACTGCCAGTCTGAACTTGTTACATAGACTTTGCATAAACTTTCGCTTGCTGTTTACTTAACCAAAAGCTCTAAGGCAGGGGAATTTTAAGTCAGAGTTTATTTCTCACTAGCCTTTTGCCTATAAGGCAGCAGGGCATTGGAAAGGTAGTACTGGGCTACATGCTACCAGTAGGAGGGTGATCGTGGTGATCCTGACTCTACTTGGCAATAGCCCTTTTTTTAATTATATTTTTTTGGTAACGAAAAGAAAAGTTTGCAATCATTATTAGTAAGCTATAAACTAATTTTTTTTTTTTTTTTTATGTAGATAAACAAATGAACATTTTGATATTAAAAAATGATATCTTTAATTTAATAATATTTTATTGTTTTGTTTTGAATCTCAATTTAAGTTTGAGAAGGATGTTTTACATTCTTGTGAATGGAAAAAAATAAGGTTTTTGAAATCCTGAAATCTTTGAAAATAAAAGTAATAATGAACTGCCTACATTGTTTGAAGAAAATTAAATTCGGATAATATCGTCCCTGTTATCGTGGACGTATAAGAGATAGAATTATCTTATACGTCCATGCTGTTATAGAGCAGATTAAACCTGTAAATGTTTTATCTCGAAAAAAAGCTAAATATATAAACTTAGCGCCTAAAAAGTCTTGAACGTCGAAATGCTATTTTTTACTATTGCTAATATCCTGAAAGATGGCTTTTTAAAATTAGAAAAGTATATATATATATATATATATATAAATATATATATATATATATATATGTATATATATATATATATATATATATATATATATATATATATATATACACACAAACTTTTTTATTGTGCGTATGCGACTAATCTTTTCATACTAGCTTATTTCTATTCTTCGTTTTCATACTAAGACGTGCTTATTCTTTATTACTATGTTTTTTTAAATGTTTAAACATGATTTTAAAAGATATTGATATTTATAAGTTATATTGATATTTATAAGTTTATAGGTTAGCCTTTTATTAAACGATCTAATAGTTGGTTTGCGATTTTAAAGACAACACAGAAAATAATATTTCAAAACATAAAATGTCAAATAATATTAAAAAAAAAACAGCCTGTTTTTTTAATTTGATCTAAAATATAGGTCAACAACAGCCCAAAGAAAAAAACGACGACAGTCAAAAGAATAGAACATAAAACAGTCTAAAATATAAAACAACTCAAAAAAGTTAATAAAAAGAAATAAAAGAAAGACATTAACTTTGTAAATTTATTTCAAATAGGCCAACAAAAATGGAAAAAAAATCATAAGTACAAAACGCTTTACGAATCTGTTCTTTTTAACTTTTGTTATATATTGATTTTTTATTTTTTAAATATTTTTATCTCCAAGTCAAAACTTAATTCTGAATTTTAACTAATCATGCTACTCAAAAACTTTTTTTATATACCGCAAGAATGCAATAACGAATGTATGGTATATACCCTGACTTTTTATCGCGGAAAAATAAACTGGATTTGTTTTCGTGACTGGGCTTGTTTTTGAAAAACTTCCTTCAAGAATAGCGAGAAATTATTTTATGTGAGTGTCGAAAATAAAAACCCACCCATGAAAATTAATTGTATTTATATATTTTTTTATATCACTTTTTTCAAAAAAGAAGGTAGAACATTTATCTAAGTGATGACAACAGTTTTTTTTTGAATTGAAAAAGTTATTTTCTTTTAAATTATTCACTTTGGGTCAATACCAGTAGGTTTAAATAATTCATCACATAAATATAGGTTTTGTAGCTATTTATTTGTTATGTACTAGAGTTTTTAATTTTTTTTGTCAGGTTTATATAGGGTGGGCTTTTTGTTTTCTTTAAGGTGATTTGTAGAATTTCCCCCCGTTTTATTTACATAAATAAGCGCAGTTAAAACATTATGCGGATTGGTAAGTACATGATAAATATCTTGTTGTTGCTGCTGTTGTTGTTGTTTGTTATTGTTGTTTGCATAAAATTTTTTATCATAGTTGAAGTACTTAGATAAAAAAAGAATAAAACTCTAAAATGTGCTTGTTATAACTTTACCAGATATTTAATGCATGTTCCACTCAAAAATTTGGTTTTAAAAGTATTTCCTTAGCCGTTCTCACAAAATGACTAATAAACAAACAAACCAACAACAGCCAACATGTTATGATTTAGTTTTCTTTATTATCAAAATATCTTAACAATCGTAATTCACTTTGATATTATGATCACAAATTTCATTCTAATATCATGATTTATATATAAATTGTATTAACCCATTTGTATTATAGTATAAAATCATGTTTCACAAACTTAGTATTTTTTTTTTTTTTTTTTTTTTTGTATGTATTTAGGTGCTCCCAGAAGTCCTTACGGTCTTATCATAGAGCACCGCGGGAGAGCATTTAATAAGAAGTTCACGCCTCCTTCCGTACCAATGTCGCTTTTTGGGCAGGAGCTGGCGTCGAACCTCGGACCTCTGGGTTCTGAGCCAGTACTCTAACCACTGCGCCACGGCTGCTCTTTGAGTATTTGATAAAAACATTTTACCACGCATGACCGATAATTAAATAATCACATCAAACCATTGCATAAAAAAATCATTTAACAATGCTTTTCGCATCTTAAATACTTAATTATTCGTCAAAAAATAAACATCACGTCACCTAACTTTGCACTATGGACTCATGTTTTTACCATGCGGATTTCTTTGTTTCTCTACTATGGTAAGCGAAAGATACTATGACTCAAAAAGAGGTTTTGATATTTTTTAAAAACGAAGACCAGATATATTACTGGTTTGAGGAGAAATATCGGAGAGTGCTGCCACATCGATTAATCTATACCTGTCTTAACCCAAACCCTCAGTCAATGTAGCAGCATTCCTTTGCATGTTATCCCTAAATTAGGCAATGTAGAAGCACTTTCCTACATTTCTCTCCAATTCAGTAATATATCTGGTCTTCGTTTTAAAAAAATCAAAACCTCATTTTGAGTCCTAGTATCTTTCGCTCACCCTCTACTATTCACTCTTCCAAATGGAAATAAAATAAATTATTTTTATTGATATTGATATAGTATGATTTTGGTTGATAGATCTAGCTGAATTTTTTTGATAGTTTGTTTTTAAATAACATTCAAAACAAGATTTACTGAAGTAATTCATTTCTAATTCTATATTTAGATATAAATTTGGATTTAGTAAATAAGTAAAACTTTTCATTTACTGATAAGTAAATAAATAGTTTTAAATAGTTGTTTATTAAATCCAGGGGTGTGGAGTCGTAAAAAAAAAGTAACGACTCCGACTCCGACTCCAGCTGTTAAAATTTTTTGAGTTCAACTCCGACTCCGACTCCAACTCCGACTCCGAATCCAATTCCAAAGCAAAATTTTTGAAAAATTCTTTAAATTCTTTAAAAAATATTGCTCGGTAAGTTCAAATTTTTTTTTTCACAATTTTATGAAACATTCTTTGATGTTTAGTATGAACATAAGTTTAATTGAATGTTTTGTACATGCACGTGAAATACGAAGAAGTTTTACTATCGGAGTCGGAGTCGCGATATTTTTTAGCGACTCCGACTCCGGTAAAATTGTCGCAACTGAGCGACTCCGACTCCACAGCCCTGAATAAATCATCTGTATATTTATTATTATTCTTTATTATTTTGTAACATACCTGTGAGTTTTATTAATAACATTGTATTTAAAACGTAATTGTTTGCTTTGATATATAAATAACCTTTTAGCTCATTAAATTTATTGATGTCAATAGATGTATGATGTTAAGACCGATTTAAGTTTATAATTTTTTTTGGCTTGATTTATAAAAAAATTGTTTAGATAAAATTCTTAATGAAGAAATTTTTGATTGGTATTTAACGTTAAAGGATACCTCTTACAATGCAATATATTGTAGATTTTGCATTGATTTCACAATTAAAATCATTAAGAGAAAAACTTTTACCGAATGCAATTAATAAATGGGATTTACTTTCTTCAGATGTCAAAGATAATATGAGGGTACAAGTAATTTTTACATCAAAACTTCACTTGCATGCTAATTTTGCATCTAAAACTGATAAAGTTTTGAAATCTTTTGAAAATATATTGTAACAAGATAGTTATAAGAATGTTTTTGCTTTTATTAGTAAAGAAAGTGGCGTTGCCAGGTTAGTTCATACAGTATGTAAGGCATTTTATTCAAGGGATAGCGAAGAAGCTGGCGTTGGTTCATATTTTAATTTATATCTTTGCTCTCATAATGAAAAGTTATTTTTTGTTCCGTTTACTTGTAATTGTTTTAATGTTTTAAATCATAATGCTGCTGACTTATCACAAAGATGCAATAATAGAATTTCTTAATGCCAAAATCCAAATAATTTATTAAAAGCTATAACAGAAGATATCACAAATCTTATATTTATTGCTGAAGTTTGTGCATTAGGAATCATTAACAAACTACTTACAGGTCCTTTGTGGCAAATTATCGAATCACTTGATAGCATTTTGATATTGAGCCCCTACCTACTTCGTTTGAAAATCAGACTTTCAACTCTTTGTAAGGATGCTTCTTTTTTAATGTTTGAAAATGGAATAACTTTAAAAGATACTAATCTTCTTTATCAAGATATGGTCTACTGCAAACTGTTTGAAGACATACAAAATGATGAGTTTGATTCTTTGATTATGCAATCACTCGAAGTTATTTTTCATGCTATTCTTGA